ACGTGGTAATGATTGTGGTTTACAGGTAGTGATGAACAGAAGTTTGCAGCAAACTGAGGACTCAACAGCCACATTGCATATGTGCGCCTGGATGGTCCACTCCTGGGCCATCAGATGCATGTGGAGCTCTTGTACCAAAGACACATCTGACTAGGTGAATCATGTGTAATATCAAGCTTTGTTCTCTCATAGTATATATACACAAACTCTAGGTGTAATTACACCAGCTGAAATCCATGTAACACTGGTGTTATTGTAGGATATTGCAGCCATTCTCTTGCAGCTGTATGTTGTCTATTTGAGGAAGGCTTCGGCCACAGTGCTCAAAATCACACAATGAGAATGGCTGTGGACTCAGTGGAATTGTAGGCACATGTTAGGGGTGCAACAAGTAAGCATCATATGTGAGAAGCTGGCATTATTACTCAGATTAACATCTCAATACTATGAACACAGTCTCTATGACTCTGACTCATCACAACTAGACAGCTTTGGCTGCAGCTTGTAAGAAGCTGCAGTTGAAGGTCACAGTATGGACAGTGCAGTATACCAGAGCAATGTGTACTGGCTATATTCTTTGATCTCAAGCAGAAGTGAAGCAGAAGCAAAAACAAGGTTAAATATTGACAGAACTATGTGCAAGCTTAAAGATTGACATTGGTAAACAAAACAAATATAAAGGAAACAGGGCAGCACAAATGAAAGACTATTCTTCATCAATCAATACATCCTCTTCACCTTCACATTCATCAACTTCCTGCATTTCCTGCCTAGCCTTCTCCTTAGATTGAGTGATAGACTTCAAAGGATGCTTCTTGGTAACCTTTGACCCATCAGCTTCTTTATACATTCCTTGAGGATCAGTTACAGGAACAGCCTTACCCTCAGTTGAAGCCCAGACAGATCTAAATGGTTCAGTGATGGGGATTAAAGCTTGACCTTGATTCTTGCTGTTGAAATCAAAATCAGGAGCTACAGAACCATCAGGACCTCTTGAGGAAAGAGGAGCATGCAACTCCAAACACAAATCTAAAGTATAAAGATAAGCAAGAGAAGTGGGAGAAAATCTATCATGAAACATCCTAGTCATTTGAGGCCAATCAATTTTGCGCTTGAAATCACCTTTATCATCAATAAATTCTCTAAGTATAGTAAATAAATGATGGTCTAATCTACTCCAAGACCTCTGATAAAAGACATGAGGTTCTGATTTTGAAGCTTGATTTCTCCTTTGAGCTAAAACACTAGACATATGAATCATTAATGCTGCATCTGTCATTTTCTGCTCTCTATACCAAACCCAAACATGGAACAAACCAGAAGTCCCAAACATGAGAAAAAGCGCCAAAGCTTGAATAGCTTGCCTTCTAAAATTGAAAGTTTCATCATTTGCTGCAGATTGAATTTCTTTCTCAGTCACCTTAGCCAATGCATCACTTGAAGGAACTTGATTCCTCTTCAGACCAGAAATAGCTTTGACAGGATTTTTGCGGATATAATCTGATGAAAGTTGATGGAGTACTGATCCTTTAAGTTCATTTCTTCTGGCTGTGATCTGAGTAGGAGTTCTTTTAACCTTGCAGTACATTTTAAGTTGTCTATTATAAACATCCCTTTCATAAATCAACATAACACCAGTGAGAACTAATAAAAAGCGCTTCTGAAGCCAACCAATACCTAAAGGATGAACTTTACTAGATTTAACTTCCTGCTCCTCCATAGCCTTCATCATACACTGCTGCCAAGCCCAAGCAATGCTCTGAGACATTGGTACCATACTAGCTGCAACCTTATGTTCACCTTGAGTCTTAATTTCAATATTTTCAGCTTTAGCATTGTAAGATATAATTTCTACACTTTCTTCAAAAATCCTATGAATAGTTTTGTGAGCTGTGCGTAATTTATTTTTAATATCTTTTTCATTAGTCCAGACAGCTGATTTTGAAGTCCGGCATGCCATGGAGTGGAAGGCTCGAAAGATCCGGTTCCTTGAATCCCAGGGATAACGAGTTGATTCATTGATAAGAGGCCAGTTGATTGATGTATCAGTCAGATAGGGATCAGTGGCAGCCACTTGAAGAAGTCGAGCACCTAGAGCAACAACACTCAAAGTTAGTCCATGTTAAAAAACCATGAAAGATGAAAGGATGACTGCTTACAAGCTTGAATGTTTTTAGGAGTATCTTTCTCATTGACTTTCCTCTTCATCAAAACCACCAGTGGTTGAAGTTTCTCATGGGTTGGCTGCCCCAGCTGGCTATTTTCATGATACTTCCAGTTCGAAATAACACTTATAACTGAATCTTTCAGTGATTCCCCCCAATCAAACTGTGTTGAAGCCAAAGTCGCTGCTCCAGCGCGGAGGAATTCGATTTCATTGGGTGATGGACTCTGAATCAGTTCTAAATGGGGAAAGGGTCAAAGTCAGCACCCGAACTCATATAGTCGATCTGTAGTCACGTGAAAGTAAAGATCGAACGAAAGCCCGCCGAAACTCAGAATTCGGCGGGCTTTCACAAAGGAGAGTGTGTAAAGAGAAGAAACTCGCAAAGCCCGCCGAAAACCAGAATTCGGCGGGCTTTGGTTGCGATTGAACCAGAGAGGGATAGGACAGAGAGTTGAAAAAAGGGAAAAAAAAGCCCGCCGAACTATGGTTTTCGGCGGGCTTTTGTTGCAATTGGAGAAGAGGTGAATTGAGCAGAGAATGAAAGTAAACTGACTGCTGACATCCAAGATCGCATCGGAGTTGTGGAAGATGGAGCTTGGCGAGATCGGTAACTCCTCCAGAACCACTTCAGAAGCCTTTGCAGAGCCCTCCTTCGCAACCGCCTTCCCTTTTTTAACTAAATCTGTCGCTTCCACCACATCATTCTGAACAGCATCCGGACCTCGGATCTCTTCTTCATCGCTTTCGTCCTCGGTCGCACTAGTACCATCATCCGAATGATTTCCGTCTTCCACATCGTCGAATACGAACTCTTCGCTCTTGTACTCGACCTTTCTTCTTTTCTTCTTGCCCCCACAGCCCTCTTCTTGGATTTCCTTCTCACTCACAGTGGCCTCCAAGTCCAAATACCGCTTGGCAGAGGCGGCTTGACCTGAAACAAAAGTAATTCAGATTATATTCCTCAGCGACTAATGTGACTATGTACTTACTTTTCTTGACGTTAGTTCCAGACTTTATTCTCGACACAGGACGTTCGACTTTTGGCATTGGATTACAAAAAGAGATCACCTCGATCTCGTCCTGGCCTTCGGTGATTGCTTCATTCAGACGTTCCTCACGCTTTTTCAAAGCCTGGTCGGAGATGGACAGAGCAGTCATCATCAGCTCGATTTCGCCATCGAAATCAATTGGATCGTCCTCGTGCTTCGCGCTTTCTTGGAAGTCCTTGAAAGCCTTCAAGGATTCCTCGTGGATCGCTTTAACTGCGAACAAGCCATATCAGTGCCTGTAATCGGGTAACACTTAATAAAACAGAGCTGATAGCTTACATCTTTGATAACGGGTGAGAGCAGTCGCGACTTTCATCTTGCGTACAGACTGGGAAGGCGTCAATTCCTGAAAGCGAGGACAGACGAATGTCAGTATAGGTATTCAGAAAGTACAAAGCCCGCCGAGAATCGAATCTCGGCGGGCTTTCAAGTGTCTATATGTAGAAAATATACATATACGAGGAAACAGAGTTGAAAGCCCGCCGAAAATCAAATCTCGGCGGGCTTTAGAAGTGGAGACTGAAAGAATCGGAAATGAAAGCCCGCCGAGAATCAAATCTCGGCGGGCTTTAGAGGTGGAGACTGAGGTGGAGACTGAAAAGAATGAAAGTCCGCCGAAATTCAAACTTCGGCGGACTTTCAGTGATGACATTGCTTACCTCAGATGGAGCTCTCTTTACCTTCCCTATCTTCACCTTATTGAGCTTCTCAAGGTATGACTCAGTGATCATCTTACTTCCACTTCCCATCTGTGAGAGATTACATCATCAGCCTGAGCCTAATTGTAGATCTTGAGGAGGTAGGACTTACTTGACTTTTTTCGCCTCCGCTCGTTTCATGCTGTCCACTCGCCACTTCAATCTCTTCTTCCTCGCTTTCACTACCACCTTCGCTCTCGGATTCCTGTTGGTACTTTGGTCAGGTCAGTAGGCCTTCACTGCAGATAAAGCTGGTAACTTACAATATCTGGGTCGATATCATGTTCCTCTTGACTCTCCATCACTACCTCCCCTCCTGTGGTCCTCATCTCGCTTTCGATTTCCTGTCAGATTCAATATCATACCAGTTGGCCACCTGAGTTACACTGGATGCGATTTCGATTTCACTTACAGAGGCCATTGGAGCATCCTCCATGTCGCCTTTTGAGTCATTTTGTTTGGGCTTTCTGATCTTTCCTAAGATTTGAGAAGCCCTCTGGAGACACAATCTATCAGAGGGATGTGAGATAGTGGTGTAGATGATGAGTTTGATTTACTGACCTTATTTCCAGAAGCAGGTAATGGTGTCACAGGTCGTTCCTGTGAATCGATTCCTTGCATTGCCTACATTCAGATGGATAAGATGGGTTGAGTCAGTGAGAGGTCCTACCTGTTTCTTGCATGCCACATGGCATTATTCCTACCTGAGACATGATACCTACTTGAAATCAAGGCATTAGGTCAGCTTGACTGAGTCAATTTAAGATCGACTTCATGACTTACTTTATTATGAGGATGTGGTGTTTGGTTTCGATTGGAGGTGATTGTTTTTGTTGATGATCAGCTGATTGATATGATGGTGGAGATGGATCGATTTTGTTGATAATAAAGTGGATGAATGGAACTTTGAGATAATTCGAAATGAAAATCGACTGGGGGTTCATGAGACTCATGTTCGACTTTGATCTAAATTAAAGTCATATCATGTTAGGCTGACTTGTGGTTGGTGGTTACATGTCAACTTCACAATTACAGGTCAACCTGTATGAGACCTTTCACACATGTGACATGCTGACTTTCAAAAGTTGGGCACCTGGGAATCGAACCCAGGTCCTTCACCTCACTGGAAGTGCAGTCGAGTGTGCTAACCATTGCACTATAGCTCCTGTACTCATAGATATGGGGTTGAATACTTATACCATGGCTCACTTCACTCCAAGACCTGGGCACAGCCAAATGGCTAAGTGATTTCTGTACTGTGTGTTGGTGTACATATTGGGCAAGTGGCTTCCACCACATTGTTCCTCACAAAAACTCTTGACCATCATCTCAAACTGGGTCTCAAACTGATAAGGATGTATGACGTGATGGTGATCTTGTGGGGGTGTCACACATCAAAGAGGAAGGATGTGATTGACTTGTGGGTGCATGTTTGAAATTGAGAATCAACCTCAACGTAAAGGTTTTGGTTTAATATTAGTAAAAAAAGTCCGCCGAAAAGTGGATTTCGGCGGACTTTTTTTTAAGTGCACCCCAATATTTTGGGGCTCAAGGCTCAAGGCAAGACGATTGGGGTGCACCCAGCCAGTTGCACCCCAATGCACCCCAACCCTGAGGGCTCAAGGCTCTGATGTGGTAGCTAGGTGCGTCCCGTTTTTGGGGCTCGGGGCTCGCGGCAAAACAACGGGACGCACCCCACCAAAATGCGTCCCGTGCGTCCCTGCCCTGAGCCCTCGAAGCAGGGAGGCGGTAGCTAGACATCAAAAACCACCTTGGGAACACCAAAAGTCCGCCAACTACCTGTTTACGCAAACTTTTGACCTTAATACATGTTGTACACATCAAATAACACCTTGTATACATCAAATAACACCTTGTAAACATCAAATACCACCTTGTAAACACCAAAAGTCTGCCAACTACCTGTCTATGCAGACTTTTGCCCTTATTACATGTTGTAAACATTAAACAACACCCTGTAAACATTCAATTAGAGCTTGTAACCACCAAAAGTCCGCCGAAAATGGTTTTTGGGCGGACTTTTGGCCTTGTTACATGTTGTAAACATCAAATTAGACCTTGTAAGCATCAAATACCACCTCGTAAACACCCAAAGTCCGCCGAAAACCCATTTTCGGCGGACGTTTGGCCTTATTACACACTGTAAACATCCAATAATACCCTGTAAACATCAAATTGGACCATGTAGACATCAAATTACACAATTTACATATGTAAAGTCCGCCGAAAACCCATTTTCGGCGGACCTTTGACCTAATTGAATACTTTAGACATCAAATAAGACCTTGTAGACATCAAGTAAACCATTTTAAACGTCAAAAGTCCGCCAAAAACCCATTTTTGGCGGACTTTTGGCCTTGTTACATGTTGTAAACATCAAGCAACACCTGTAAAAACCATATTACACAATTTGAACACCAGGAGTCCGCCGAAAATGGGTTTTCGGCGGACTTTGGACCTCATTACACACTTTAAACGGCAAATAATAGTCTGTAGGCATCAAATAAGACCTTGTAGACATCAAATTACACAATTTACATATGTAAAGTCCGCCGAAAATGGGTTTTCGGCGGACCTTTGACCTCACTGAACACTGTAGACATCAAATAAGACCTTGTAGACATCAAATAAACCATTTTAAACATCAAAAGTCCGCCAAAAATGGGTTTTCAGCGGACCTTTGGCCTTGTTACATGTTGTAAACATCAAGTAACACCCTGTAGAAATCAAATGAAGCATTTTAGACATCAAATAAGACCCTGTGGACATCAAATAACACAATTCAAACACCAGGAGTCCGCCGAAAATGGTTTTTTCGGCGGACTGTTGACCGCATTACACACTGTAAGCATCCAATAAGACCTTGTGGACATTAAATGATGCAATTTGAACATGAAAGGTCCGCCGAAAATGCATTTTTGGCGGACTATGCTTTGAGGTGCGCCCCGGTTTTGGGGCTCGGGGCTCGCGGCAGTTTGACCGGGGCGCACCTCACCAAAATGCGCCCCGTGCGCCCCTGCCCTGAGGCCTTGAAGCAGGGAGGCGGTAGCTAGATTCCATGTTTTCCCAACTTCACCACCATTCTATCTATGATTTGAAGTATCCACTTTCCTCGGTTGATGTTTGGTTGTATTCACCTTAGCCAAACCTTTCATCCTTTCAGTGCCTTCTTTGGTCCTCCACATTCTTCGCCTCCTCTCCCCGCATGCTGCCCACTGTCCATCTTTGGCCCTCTATATGACCTTGGGCCTATGGCAGTCCTGGGTGTCCTGATGTCTTTGAGCCTAAGTTTGTATTGGACTCCACTTCCTCAAACCTCCCTGTTGGCTTGGGTTGGACCTTTGTCTGTCTTGCACCTCCATATGTATTTTGGCCTTGTTACCTTGGGCCCTCCATGTTGTTTGGCCATCCTTTATTCCTTTGCCCATTTGATTTCTTCCGCCATTATTTCTTTCTGGCGCTACATATTCTGTGGCTGTCTGTTTCATTTGGTACTCTGAATACTTGAGTTATCCATTCTGTTTGGCCTTCTGTCTTCTTGGGCATTTGGTATTCATGGGCTCCCTGTTTCCTTTGGCCCTCTTGTGGTCCTCTGTCCCCTTTGGCCCTCTGTAACCTTGGGCCATAATTGACCATTGGTCAATGGTCATCTTCCAACCATTGTTTCATATCTTTTGTCCTCCAACCCCTAAGTCCTTTTACCTGGGGCCTCCTTATTTTTGGCTTCCAAAATTTAAATGGTCTTCAGCCGGCATTGTGTCTTGACTCTTGATCTGGATCTTGGGTTGTCACCTGGTCTTCCCTTGAGCTGTCTTGAGTCTGTGTGTATTTGGGCCCTTGGGACTCAAGTGGCTTGACTCAACTCAATTTTTGATCTCAGCTCAATCTGTGCTCTCAATTCTCACAACGCTTAGTCTCTGCTCTGCGCCTTGGTCATGACTCTTTGTCTCAGACTTTTTGACTCAAATCTGGGTGGCGACTATCCAGTCAGTCTCCTTTTGACTCTCTGTGTTTTTGTCAAGTAGCTATTAGTTTTGATTCAACTCTCATCCTGGTGGTGACATGACACTCAGAGTCAAGTCCACCCTGCGTCTTCTTTAATTCACTTGACTGTTTGTCCATGTAGACTTCCCTGCACTTTGCAACGTGGTCTATCTCTCAACAGCTGATCTTGGTCTGAGTTTTGAATCCGGTGTTGATCTGAAATTGAGCAACTCACCCCAACTCAGAGTCTTGACATATTCAAAAATCTGAATTGCAAGCTTGACTATGTGAATGGAAAGATCAACCATGCACCTGGACTCTGAGTCTGTGTTGCAACACTGACTCTGCCACTGCACTTGACTCTGTGTATTGACATGGCTGTTGCCTTGTTTTGGCTCTTGGACTCTTTGTCTTGACTCATATGACAGAGTCGACCAACAACTCTGGTTGTTGGTCTTGTGTACCATTGACTTGACACACTTTGACTGTAGCTGTCGCAGCTCTCATTCTGGAAGTTCCCTTGCCTCTGAGTCTTGTCCACTCAAGCCTCAGTGTCAGTCTTGACCCCACTTTGGGGAGTTAAGTCCCTGTTGCAATTGCCTCTTGGCCTGGATCATTGGGCACTTTGACTGTTCTTCCCAACCTTCCACTTTCAACTCTTGACTGTCAATTCTTGGGCCCAACTATGACTCATGACTCCACTCTGGCTGTTGACTCAAACTTGGTTGTCTTCGCCCTCCTTATGTCTTTTGGGCTCCATTCACCTCAACACTCCTTGTGTCTTTGGGCCTACGTTTCCCTTGGCCTCCACTTGTTCTCATCTCTGTGATCTCTCGGACCAATGTATGTCTTTGTACCCCTTATATTAAGTTGGGCCTTGGTATTATTGTGCCCATTATATCCTTTGGCCCACTGGTTTGTTTGGCCTCACTGTGCCCTTTGGCCATTCAAGTTCTTTTTTCCTTGGTTCCCATTGGTCATCCGCCTGCTTCCGACCTTTTTCTATTTTTCTTTGGTCCTCCGTCTTCTACATCCAATTGCCTTGAGCTTACATTTACTTTAGCCCTCCGTATTCATGTCCTCTGACCCTAGTTTCCATTCTGACGCAGTGTGTTGAATCTGACTATGAGTCATGAATTGACTCTGCATTATGATTCAAGTCTGAACTGACACCAAGACAATGACAATGACTCTGACTCTGCGTCTCCCCTGAAATGGTCTCAACTCTGCATTTGACTCATTTGTGAAGACATTGATTCGTTGCACACTGTGTTATAAGCATATTATCCAATTCAAAAGCAGCCCAAACTTTCTATAAGCATATTATACAATTGTAAAACAACTGCCCCTCTGTATAAGCATATTATACAATTGTAAAAGAACTGCCCCCCTCTATAAGCATATCTATCAGATTCATTCAATCCAATCATGGGTAAATACCTATGAGCCATCACCCAATGCGGACTTTTGACCTCATTACATGTTGCAAAAATCAAATAACACCTTGTACACATCAAATACCAGCTTGTAAACACCAACAATCCGCCGAAAATGGCTTTTATACATGTTGTAAACATCAATTAACACCTTGTAGACATCAAAAACCACCTTGGGAACAACAAAAGTACAACAACTACCTGTTTATGGCATCTTTTGACCTTATTACATGTTGTAAACATCAAATAACACCTTGTATACATCAAACACCACCTTGTAAACATCAAATACCACCTTGTAAACACCAAAGTCGGCCAACTACCTGTCTATGCAGACTTTTGACCTTATTACATGTTGTAAACATCAAATAAGACCCTGTAGACACCAAATACCACCTCGTAAACACAAAAAGTCCGCCGAAAATGGGTTTTGGGCGGACTTTTTGGGTTATTACATGTTGTAAACATCAAATATAACCCTGAAGACACCAAATAAACCATTTTAAACACAAAAAGTCCGCCGAAAATGGTTTTTGGGCGGACTTTTTGACTTATTACACACTGTAAACATCAAATAAGGCCCTGTAGACATCAAATAAAGCATTTTAAACACAAAAAGTCCGCCGAAAATGATTTTTTGGCGGACTTTTTGCCTTATTACATGTTGCAATCATCAGATTAGACCCTGTAGACACCAAATGAGCCCTTGTAGACATTAAATAGTA